TGCTGTCTCCCCTTTCCTCAGGTTTGCTGCATTAACTGTTAGCGTCAGCGAGGTCTACTCACTAACCACCCTGTGGACTAGCTATTTTGGGAAGATGCTGAGCCGTGTCTCCTCCCTAGCCTGCACTAAGTCTCTTTATATGAAAGCACATCAAGTAGCTTGAGGGCTGTTTTGGGTGAGGGGATGCTTTTCAGTAACTCTTTGCTCCCAGCTATAACTGGCAATGAGGAACTAGTAATCTAGCTGCTTTGCTTCTTCTCCTTTCACCTTATGGAGCCTTTTTCTCCCCAAACTGGCTGAACGTGAATCTCTGAGGAACTGTCTGTATGCCCAGTTGCTGAGAGATTGCCTTTTTGTTCTTGAAACATGGTTCTATTTGCGTAATGTCTGTGTTAGAGGACCTGCTCTCTCCTAACCTGGGCGGTGGAAAAAAAAGAGTTTACGGTTCCACGTCTTTATGGCCAGCCACCAGAAATATGCCCAAAGGTAGTTTATTTTGTACCGAGGATTTCTGCCCCCACCCTGCAAGGGAAGCGCCAGCAGCACATGTGTTTAAGATGGAGACAAAAGCATAATACCACGTCTGTAACGGGAACCCTCCTCCACTCAGAGCGGTAATGTGCTTCTCGGGTGCAGGAGCCAGCCGAGATTCCTGATACTTGGAGAGCAGTGTACGGACCAAGCTGGGAGGATACACGTGGCTGTGTTTGGGGGTACAGGGTAGAAAATGTCTCCGGGTGACAGGTGTGTTGTACGCGTGTGCGCGCGCAGGCGCCGGGGTGGTTCTGGATTTTGCCTGTGGGTGTGTGTGATTTGTGTGGGCTAAGGGATCTGGGCCGATGAACGGAATCTGTGGATGGGGGAGAGGCCGGGTGTGTGGATGACTCATATCTTTCAGGGTGTGGGTGGGTTTATTTGTGGGGGATAACTTTTGGTCTGAGGGGTTCTGTGTACTCGGCACCCAAGGAGAAATATTTACCTGTGCAGCTAAGTGCAGGGGTCCAGCGAGTGGATACAAGGTGGAGCATCATGGGGAGGGTGGAGGGAGGGTGCGGCAGGCAGGGCGGGGGTGTACATACACCCTCATGTGCATTCAGCTACAACTCTGGGCGGCTTTGCCCAGAAGAGGAGAATGGGTGCGGAGGAAGAAGAGATCAAGGAGGAATTTTTCCACAAGGAAGTTTAGGGAGAGGAGTAACAGATAAAGCTCTGGCGCTGCAGTCTCTCTCCCAGAACGCATCTCCGAAACCATCTAGCTTCTGGAAGCCTTGGTTTCCAGATCCCATTTGGACATATTGTCCGGAGGAAACAGTCGTTGGAGAAGGATGTCATGCTGGGTAAGGTGGCGGGTCAGAGAAAAAGAGGAAGACCCCTAATGAGATGGATTGGCCAGGTGGCATCATTGATGGCGTCAAGTGTGGCAGCAGTAGTGAGGTTGGCCCAGGATCAGACATTGTTTCGTTCTGCTGTGCATGGGGTCGCTAGGAGTCGGTTCCGACTCGATGGCACCTGACAACAACAACATAGTGGACACAATGATACGGTCAACGCTGTAGAGTTTTAAGTTAGATAATTTGGTGTAGACATTTGCCCCGTGCCTGGCACACACTGATTGAGTAATGCCATTTATTATCATTGTTGTCAATGTCCTAGCTACCTGTTGGAATAATAAGCATTCTAAGTATGCTTCACTGCATAAGACTGGCAACAGTTAGTTATAAACAATAATGAATGCTTACTAGATTCCTGGAAATTTTTACCAGTTGCCACATTTTTTTTTAAATCAGCTGCCATTGAGTCAGGCCCAACTCATGGCGCTCATGTATGTCAGAATAGAACTGTGCTCCACAGGGTTCTCAGTGGATGATTTTTGATAAGTAGATTCCACTCATGGTGCCCCCGTGTGTGTCAGAGTAGAACTGTGCCCTACATGGTTCTTAGTGGATGGGTTTTCACAAGCAGATTCTACTCATGGTGCCCCATGTGTGTCACAGTAGAATTGTGCTCCACAGGGTTCTCAGTGGATGATTTTTCACAAGTAGATTCCATGCACGGCGCCCCCATGTGTATCAGAGTAGAACTGTGCTCACAGGGTTTTCAGAGGCTGGTTTTGGGGACGCAGATCACCAGGCCTTTCTGCCAAGGCACCTCAGGAGTGGACTCAAGCCACCACCTTCTGGTGCTTGACCATTTGCACCACCCAAATGCTCCATAATTGCACACATTTTCCCACTCAGTCCTCCTCTACTTTGCAAGTGTCATTACGAGCCCTTTGTACAGAAACTCAGAGAGGTGAAGTAACTTTCCCACGGTCACAGAGCAGGGCTCAAGCCCAGACTGGCAACTCCAATGCCCCCTGGCCCCAGCATCTCCGAGGGGCCACCCCAGCATCTTGGGGCCGCATAACATCCATCAATGAGAGCTGCCTGCTCACGCCCAGGAGAGGGTGAGCCCGAGGGAGGAGAAGCTGGCAGAGTGTTCCAGTGGAAACAGTCTCCATACCAATTCCAGGTCCCGTAACATTCATGAAACACATGCTTCCCCAACTCAGCACTAGAGCCTGGTTAAAGGTCGGAGCTCTGCTGATGCCTGCCCAATGTCTCCATCTCTTGTGAAAGGAAAAGTCAGACTGGAGACAGATCATTAAGTCAGGAAGGCTCTGCTTACCCCCTCTGACTTGTGCTCCGTCACCCACCACCAGTTGAGTGGGACAAGGAGCCGAGGTACCACTGTTGGCCTGCATTCCGGTGGATGAGGACACCCTAGTTCGGCTCTGCTGACCGACAAATTGCTCCAGGGCACATATTCCCAAGAGTCACCTCCTTTCTGATGGGAAACAGGGAATGTGCCAGAAAAGTGAGTCCAAGCACCTAGGCCAGAGGATCAGTATGATTTCCTGTCATGCCACGTCTCAGCACCCAGAAAGGAGTGGCCACCCTGGAGAGAAGAGAACCATGATCCCCTGGAGGGGAGGGGCACAAGTCTGAGTAACATAGGGGGAGAAATCTGGGTCCACACCCAACTCTCACTAACACGAGGGCTCTGGGCCAGTCACGTGGACTGCTGGGTCTCACCACATCACCTGTAAATGAGGTGATCCCTTCCCCACCATCAGGACGGGGTGGGGAGCAGGGAGTGTGTTATGCTACAGAAAACTTGCATGATTTGCTGAAGGACTGAGACTCTGAGGAAGTGCATCCATTGACATTTCTCATGTCAACAGTACAGACAGTAACCTCGACCTCAGGCCCTCCTGTCTCCTCCCCCCTCCCATTCAAATGTAAGCTCCATGAGGGCAGAGACATTTGCTGTAGACACTGCTGCTTTCCCCCCCCCCCCCAGGCTGCTGGAGCCCAGCATACAGTCAGCACTCATACACATTGGCAGAATGAAAACAAGAAGTCTGCGGACCACAGGAGACAACCGGGTACCACAGGTAGACCAGGGTGCTAGGCGCCACTCTAAAATGCTGAGAATTCACACATAGCTGAGGGGCCTGGATCCTTCTCTCTCCAGCTCAGTGGGAGGCTGGAGGCAGCTCTCCGGGCACAGGCATGCTGGGAGCCCCTTGGAGAATAGGTTCTGCAGCACAGCCCTGAGTGGGACAGCTGCCCCTGGTTCACAAACAGACCAGCTGGGAGCGCCAGGCCGCCCGCCTGCCACTGTGGCCACCCACATCTGCTGCCTGGCTTCGTCCTGCCTGTGCACTTGGGCACACACACGCACACAAGCCCGCGGCCAAGACAGAGGAAGGGCTGTCTGCTCCCACCAGGCCCTCGGCACCCCAGGGTCAGGGTGCTCTTTGAAAACAACAGCATGGAAAAGGCCGCCTGGGACTAGGGCTGGGCAGGGCCATGACAGGCAAGAACATTATATAATTAACTGCCCCAGACTCCTCCTCTCTGGGTAATAATGAACCCTGCCTTTCGGTTGCATAAGCCAAAATAATAATTACTCTCCAGCCCTCTCCCTTCTGAATGGTGGCCAGGGAGCAGGTATCGAGAGCTTCCTTCTTGAGACTTAAGGAAGCAAGGAGATATGGAGTCAGAGACCACATGCACACTTATGGCTCTCTGTCCAGCGGGGGTCACTGCTGTAGGCCCTTGGTTCCCAGGCATCCATGCCTAAGACATCACCAAGCTGTGGGATTTAGGGAGAGCCAGAGCATCTTGAAAGCAGCTATGTTTTGGGTCTGGCTTCCAGGAGTGATAAAGGCTCCCTGCGTCTCAGATGCACCAAGGGGTGTACATCGGAGTGTCCAGGACAAAAGAAGAGATGCCAGCCAAACCACAGTGCCCAGCACAGAAACCATCTTACAGCAGAGCCACCAGGCACCTCCCTGGCTTCTAGCCCCAGGCTCTGCTCCCGAACGTGGTGGCATCTTAGAATGGAGGCATAGACCTAGTGCCTGAACTGACGGGGAAAATGATTCAGCCACTTACATCTGAGATTCCTGGGCTCTCACTAAGCAGATGGGCCTCCCTCCCTCCAGCAGCTTCACCAGCGCCAGCCCGCATCCAACCACCTAGAAGTTTATTGCCTTGTTGTTGTGGTCTGGGTTTGCATCCCCCGCCTCTAGCTACCAAGCGCTCCCTTTCCATTGGCTTGGGTTGATTCGGGACTGCATGAAAACAAGACGGAGCTGGGGTCTGACCCTGGGAAAACCAAACCAGGAGGGGCCCTTTCCCTGCCTGCCATCCTCTTGGCTGTCTTGGCTCAGCCTGGCCTTCCGGCAGGTCCTGGCCTTTTCTTGATTGATGCTCTGCTCTGCTCCCCAGGCCCAGATCTGCTCCTGGAAAGCCCTCCCCGCAACCCCAACACCAAGGCACTGGCCCCCATCAGGCAACGGGGCAACCTGTAACCAGAAGCCACTGTGGCCTCCCAGGAACCCCAGGGAATGCCCCCGATGCCCACAGCCTAGGTGGAGGGAGCAGTTCAACTTCCCCGGAGACCAGCAGCAGAGAACACAGAGGGAGCAGGCCCCGCGCCGGCGCACATACCTCCATCAGAGTACGTCTCGGTTCCATAGCCGTCCTGAAGCCCGTTGCTCCAGGTCCCTTCGTACTTGGCCCCGTTGCCCGTGCACTCCCGCACCCCGTAGCGCCCCTTAAATCCGTGAGTCCACTCGCCCTTGTACACCCACTTCCCCTTGCTCTCCAGGCCGATGCCGTGGCGCTTGCCCTGCGCCCAGGTGCCCTGGTACGTGTTGCCGCTGGGCCAGGTGTAGACGCCCAGCACCTCGAAGCCGTGGCTCCACGAGCCGGTGTATTCGCCTTGGCCCTTGGGGCCGGTGCAGATCCCATGGCCGTGCGCCTTGCCGTCCTCCCAGCCTCCGCAGTAGGACCCTCCATCGTCAAAATTAAACCTACCCCCACTGGACATGCATGAAACTCGGTTTGCAAATCCCGCAAACGGTGAAAAAAAAATAAAAAAATAAGGCGATCAACAAACCGGATTCTTGGTTGACTGGCTGGCTGCTTTTTGTTTTTGTTTTTTAAAAGAATGGAGAAAGCGAAAAATACAGCGGCCAGATCTTGAGCGGCGGGCGGCCGCAACGCCGGCTTCGTTGGAATTTAAGTCAATTGGGGGCGATTATTCATTTCGAGCTGCGCCGCGGAGCCTGACCAGCGTCTCGCGCTCCCGCTGGAAACAGGACCGGAGGGGAGGAGGGAGGGGGAGGGGAGCGGAGGGGAGGGGCGGGAGGGGGCAGGAGCGGGAGCGGCGGGTGCAAACGGCTCCACCTCAGCTGTAAATGCCCCTCGGCGGCCGAGCCCGCGCCTGGGAGCCTGGCGAGCTGGGCCGGGCACCGGGACGCGGCGGGACGGGCTCAGGCCCGGGGCGC